TTAATATATATTAATTATATATTATTGTAATTATTTATAATTGCATTACGAGAGGTAAGAGTAGTAACAACTGCAAAATTACAGTGACAATGAGCAAGTCCTATTCAATGTTAAAATGTGTTCTTGCTTCACGCTAAAGCTCCCACTCCGATAGATCTAAAAGCGTCTACACCAAAAACTTAGTTCTCTCTCATGTTTACTTGCTAGCATTTCAGTGTACTGTAGCAGCGCCCCTTCAAAAGCAATGTGAACAGATGTTGGTTTTGGGAACATACACAACTAAGAAGTCACGTTCCCCACTCTTCCACCTCCAGCTTACTCCAGTCCACTCGTGACCATTTACTGGTCTTGCATCTTTTTTGATAAAATTGTTTTCAAAGCTAAAATGTGTGAATTGACTGCTGGAATAAACATATTCCTCAGGAGAAAGGAAAAAAAAAAAGGTAACTTGGACCATTTCAGTAACTGTTTTAACCTGCAGCTTCTCAAAGTACAACTTCAGAGGCAGCACCAGACAGGGTAGATGCAGGCCCCTAACAGACTGGCTTCATTATGGAAGCTGACAACCTTTAAAACATTGTTTCACGCAACCCACTAAAACCAAGCATGGTTTCATCAGGTTTTAGGAGCTGATGATGAGCACTCCTAAATAAAAGTGCTCTCCGATACTCCGCAAGATACCAAGAAGTGTTCCGAATGCCAGCAGGAGCTTGTAATACATGTCAATTTATACACAACACAGGAAAGCCCAGAATACTTTCAGTTCAGGTGTGCCAGGTTCAGATCACTAATGTTAATTTGTAGTCCCAGAAGCATCTGTTTGGTGGCAGCTAGAGCTGACAGTTTCCATCCCTTTCCTTGCCACCCATACCCTTCCATGCCGCCCCACACTGTGACTGCACAGCATTTTGCGTTGAATGTGACAACTCAGCCGGAGGTCTAAGTACATTGGAAAAAGAGAAAGAAAATTCACTGCAGTCATGCAAATGTACACAGTGCGCAGTGGAAATAACTGATTGTCAAGGAAGGGCAGCATGGGCTGCTTACCTCTGTTACTTAAACTCAAAAAGACAACAACCTTCACAGGGTTAGGAAGAATCACAGCACAATACCTTAAATTGTCACCTGGCATACTACTCCCCATAAAGAACCCAAAGGCTTCAAGACCACATCAAACCACTTAAGCTGCGGAATGCAGATGAATGCCTAGGAGATAACATACAGTTCTAAAAATTATTTTCAATTTGCAAAAGAATAATTTGTTTGCTCACATTTATTGCCTGACCTGCTTTTTCCACAATTAGTACTGATACCACGTACTTATAGCGATCAAAGTCCAATTCCTTCACAGCCTTTACTATTTCTTCTGAGATTGAAGCACACAAGGAGGCACTAGAAACTCCATCGTATTTGGCTTGTTGAAGCTTATTCTATGAGAAAACCATTTTGAAATATCTTAGTTTTCAATCTGGTAGTCTTTTGCAAAAAAACCTTTTACAGTCATTTCTATTACAAGAACATTACAAGAACTAATGAGTGTAACAGTCAACACAGATGATGCTCTCAAACAGCAAAGGCTGCACTATTTTTACGCTAAAATGTTTTATCTGTTTTTTGAAAGTGACAAACACATCCAGCCAATCTCCATTTAACAAACAGGAGTGTATTCTTCTCCATTATTTGGGCTCCGTTCACTGGAAAACAGTGCTACAAATACCTGTTCCAAATATCCAAGGCATGTCTTCCAGACAGCAGAACTGCAAGAGTTGGTTCTAACTATTCAAGGTATCACTGACAGTTACATATTATCTCAACAGATTGTTCTCGTTCATTTTTGCTTAGTTTTTGTATGTGGCAGTCATATTTTATGCAGGTCATGGGATATTAGTAGAACTAATTGAAGGAGTAGATTTCACAAATTCAAGGTCAGGATCTTTGGATAATTGGATATTTTGCAGATTAGGGTACTCTGAACTGTGCTACAGCTCAATTTGATTTAGAAATGGGTAAGAGTTTAAGAACCTTCAGCTCCATCTTAACAGCACATGCTCAGTGGTGACCTTGCAGGGGGCCTTTTGCACTTTGCAAAACAGAGCACATTCACATTACATTTGTGTGCCAAAACTCAAAGTCTGCAAAGACTTATGCGTATGTCTAAGTTTATGCAACTCAACACTGTTCCATTAATATAATCTTTGCATGACAAGCTACTTTTGCAATAAAATTAGACAACTAATTTTAAAAAATACTATACCGTTAATATCGCTTGAGCTTTGTCTCTTACTAAGCGCTCCTGAAATTTATTATGTGACTCCAGTCTGTATGTATTAGCATATCTTATCTTTGCCCTATTAGATTTGGTTGCCAGCAGCTTAGCTTTCATTGAATCTCTAAAATACTCTTCTTCCACTGGAGCCATACCTAAAGCTTCGTAGTTCGATTGTGTCCTTTTTCCTTTTGTCTGTGCAAAATAATAAAAAAGTCCACATCACACGTCAATATTTTAGCACTTAACAGTCCCTAAACAATACTTTATGGTGCATAGTTAAGAGAGAAAACACAATTATTCTAGGAATATGTTACAAAAAAAGAAAAGCTAGAAAATGGGTATCTTTTCTTCTGGCTGTTTTGACACTAGCGCTTTGACTGAAAAAAAGAGAACAGTGGTTAACTTCTGCTCAATTTTAATTGCTTTTCCACCAAAATCCAAACGAAGTTTGCATTTAAACTCAGTCAAGCAGATACACCAGATTAGCACTCTGAATCCACTCCATTTTCCAAGTAAGAAACCACCAATCTTAACACATATGTCCAAGACTGTTAACCACAACTTCAAGCTTTTCATTCAGACAGCCTACACAAACCCCAAAATATATGCCCAGTTCATCTACTACATAATTTTATTTGTCCTCATTCCCTGTGGGGCTACTAGATAAATGCCTTATGTATTAATGACTTAATTTTCTCATTAAAAAAAAGGAAAGGAATAAATACACTCCAATTTGCAAACTTTGTAGTTTTGCTTGGAACTTAAAAAGAGTAGTACTTCTTTTTATTTGCCACCAGAACTCTGAAGATCCAAGTTTTCTCCCCATTCAGCTTGCATAATATCATTCTCTTCAACACACTTAATAAAATTTGGCCCTTTATGAAAGCAAGCGGAAAGTCTGATCATGCGCAGGGAAGAAGTCACCTGCTGTCCTCCATGGCTGGGTTAAAACAGAACTGTAAAATGGTAACAAAAACAAGACAGAGACAGAAAAGCACATGGAACCAATGAGATCATAACAAATGCTACAGACAGTGGTATTCCATACCAGCTACCTCCTAACTAACCACTTTCAAGTTTTGCTGAATCTTCAACCCCTTGGTCCACTTCCCAACTACAACTAGAACTTAGGTGAGAGAAAAATCATCAGTTCCTTCTCAGAAGAGCAGAAAAGAGCACAAAGGTGATATAACACCATAGTGCAAGGCTTACACTAAGAAATAGAGAAAAAAAAAAATCATACGCTTATGGATAATCTAAAAGTCTAGTGAGAATTGTTTGAAAAGATACACTCCTCAGAGGCTCACAAATCTTTCAGTCAGAGGAGTTTGAGAATAAGCGAAGCAATGCAGTCTCTATGAAATCACTTACACATTAATCCTGTCAACACCATAGACATTACGTACATCTCTCCTCTGGTTCCTTACTGTCAGATAATCCTGTTAAAAACCAGTGATGTTGGCAGCCCTAACGCAAATCAGCTGCAGGTGTTTGTTAATACCATGCCAACAATGCAAACCCTGAACAGTACTCACACTACGCTAAAAATGCAAGGAGCAAACACATTTGCACTTAGGCTGTGGACACTCGTTATCTTCTAACTGAAACTCAGATCTATAAAGACTGTAGCCCCTACTGGCTCATCACAGGTCCCCTGACAGAATAAAAAACACCTCAGGTCTGCCATCTGAGCATCCCAATCCATGTCAGTGGAAGTGAACCTGTGAAAAAGGTCACAATCCAAACAGCAGTCCTTTGCTAACGTGGTTTAACATGAGTCACAACTTCTTCAGCCTGTACCATTACAGATGGAAGAAAATTCATGTCTATAGCACATGACTTCTAACAATGCTGTTACTTACAAGTTTAACAGCTATTATTAGTAACAGATGTTTTCATAATCATTTCCTCAGGCGCAAGAAGCCATTTACTAAAGAGACAATCAAGAACCTTATTGGTATCTCTACACAAACAGTTAATAAACCTACCTCTGTATTTCACAAGACAAATACTGCAATTACATTTCCGTGTAATATTTACATCCTTCTTAAAAGAATCTCTCAAAAATTCAAGAACTGACTGCATTGGACTATACAAAGCTCATTCTTATGCTACCAGACTCTACTACATTAGCTTTACCTTGGACATATGGAAATATGCTGGGAGAAAAAAAGCTTTTGCTATTTTAAAGAAATGCTGTTTGTTAATAAGTCTGTTTTAACAATCAATAGTTGCTTTAAAGAAACACTTCTTGTTTATTTCCTCAAAAGAGGGCACACCTTCTCCCTAACTTAGAGGATGTACAGTAGCACCGCAAGTTGGAAAGACTGCACCACCAAAGGGAGGGCTGCTCTGGCTGTCTTTTTACCTTCATAAGGCTTTGACGACTTTGCCTCCTAATGCCAAAGGCAGCACACCAGCTGCAAGGGGGATGTGAACATTACAGCTGGCCAAGCAGACAGGGGATGAACTATCCCAAACCGGATGTAAAACAGATGGGAACAGTGCAAGACAAAAGCATTTATGATATAAGTTTTCACAAGATGGGACTCGCCTTTCAGTCCCTCACCAAGCCCCATATTCCTCCGCACCGTCCTTCCTGAGGGCCCAGGCCCCATCCCTCGCTCCTTCCCCCGCTAGCTGAAGCGCTGCAGGCCCGGGCCAGCGTCCCGGCCGCCACGG